ATCTTACTAAATCCAGTTTATCTCTTTGGAACAGGTTAAGGGGACAGAAACTGATTTCACAGCTGGAAGGAAAAGAAAGGTAAGGTTAGTGGGAAGCAGTTAGGCAATTTGGGGGTATTACCTATTCATACCATAGGTGAATACAGTAAGATGGAGTGAGATAGGTCTGAGTTTGAATCCCAATTCAGCCACCTTTTCTGGCTGGCTAACATTCAACAAGTTTTTTCCACCTCTCTGAAAGTAGGTTTCCTCACATGTAGAGAGTTCAAATGTCTAATAACTTAAGAGCTATTACCCACATAATTAGCAGACACCAGTTTATTTTAGGAATACATCTTTTATTTTTCAAAGTCCAACATGCACTCACAAAACAGGCTCAGATGCAAACTACCCTGTCTTCCACATCTACTGCCTGCTAACCATCTTGGAGATGCCTAACAGCTGTTGCTAACCACAATGAGAAGACAATGCCAATGTCAAATATGGTAGTCTGTCCCCAAGAGGATTCAAAGTTTGGAGATAATTTATTATTCATTAAGAGACAACTAATACATATTTTGCTATAAAGAGTAAGGTGCTTCCATAACAAAAACCTAAAATGTTGGAGTGCCTTTGGAACTGGGAAGTTGGAGAAGCTGGAAGGACTTGGAGGAGAGTTTTAGTGAAAGCCCAAAGAGTCTTGAAGAAACTTAAAAGAATCCTGATGGCTTTTGAGAAAACTGTAGATTAGGCTTAAGGGGAAATGAAAAAAATGTTATTGGAAACTGGAGGAAAAGGGTTCTTGTTATGTATTGGCAGAAAGTTTAGCAACACTGTCACCTGCAGTAATGTATAAAGTAGAAAATGTGCCTAATTAATTGGGTGTTCTAGCTAAGTAATTGCCAGATAGAGTGCTGAAGGTGCTGACTGATGTCAAATTCCTGGTTATTGCAAAATGTGAGAAGAAAAAAATAATCTAAAAAAGGCCTTTAAAAAAGAAAAGGATCCAGAACTTGCTAGATTTTAATATTCCCATCTTCTCTAGATGGCAAATAATGCTAAAATGGAGAAATGGCTTCCAGTCAAACATAAACTCCAGGACACTGCAAGGAAAATGTCATCAAATAATGAAGCTGAGAGTGTGGCTATAAAACCCTTTGCTCACACCTCAAAAAGATCTACACCAGTGATTTAGAGAATCATTCAGACAAATGATACAGCTTCAAAGAAGTTTATTAGTGTTGTGCCTCAGCAGTTTCAGTATAGGGACTCTCCAGAGTAGAAAAGGGCTTATCTCGAAGAGATTTTGTAGGTATGATTTTTGTCCAATGAAGTGGTACCCCAATAAGATTCATAGGAGATTCACAACATTTTAAATGAAATTATATTGCCAGAAATATTGCCAGCATGGACTAAATGGAACAGAGACAGTACAAAATTACAAGAGGCCTTTAGAGCACCTTACTTCTACTGGCAGAAAGCAGACTCTCTAGTGACATAGCTGCAAACATGGGCTACTTTTCATAGAAAAGGATGACTCAGAGAGTGGAATAAAGAGCTTTTAAAAAGACATGGAGAGTCATTCCTGGGCATAAGTAGAATTGAGCTCTAACTGAGGAACTTCTAACATGTGTCCAACTGAATTTCAGGATTGCTGTGAACTAGTGAACTCCTCTGTGTCTTTGCTCCTTTTAAACAGGAATGTCTGTACCAGTTATATGTCCCACCATTGTCTGTTGGGAGTGTGGCGAAAACAAGTATTCAGATGGAGATGAACTATATTTGAGGAGCTGCATTTAAGACTACACCTAAGAGCCTCATCCACATCTGGACCTTATTTAGATATGATTCTGGATTTTAAGCTGATGGTTTGAGACTTTGGGGATCTTTGGGAGAAGTGGATAAATTTTACATTTGAGAGATATGAATGATTAGGGGTAAAAGGGTAAAATATGGTAGCCAACCTCAAAGATCGCCCCAAAGATGCCCTGGCCAGTGTGGCTCAGTTGGTTGGTTGTCTTCCTGTGCACTGAAAGGTTGCTGGTTCGACTCTGGTGGTCAGGACACATGCTAGGGTTGGGGGCTCTATCCCTGGTGGGGGTCGTGCAGGAGGTGCCAAATATTTCAGTGTTTCTCTCTCTCCCTTCCTCTCTCTCTAAAAATCCATGAAAAAAATCTTTTAAAAAATGGCCGGAAGATCCCCACCTCTTGGTACTCATGCCCTTATGTAGTCCCCTTCCACAGTGACTAGAACTGATCTCTGTAACTAGTAGGCCATGTTGGAAGTGATGATGTGTGACTCCTGAGTTTAGGTCATAAAAGACATCGTATCTTCCATCTTGCCGTCTCTTGGATCGATTGCTTTGGGAGAATTCAACTGCCATGTCATGAGGACACTATAGCAGCCCAATAGAAGGTGGTCTTCCTGCCAGCAGTCATGTGAGCCACCTTAGAAGCAAATCCTACAAGTCATGCCTTCAAGTGCCTATAGCTCCAGCCAACATCTTCACTGAAATCTTTTGAGAGACCCTGAGTTAGACCACCCAGGTAAGCTACTCCCATATTCCTGGCTCATAGAAAGTATCAGATAATGTTTATTGTCGTAAGCTGCTGTGTTTTGTGGTAATTTTCCATGCAATAACAGATTAATATAACAAAGTTCCAATTCCTGGGGAATCAGACTGTTCTGATTTCTATGCAGAGGGTTACAGAAGGTCTGTCTCATTGAGTCTGTCATGCCTCATTACCGGAACTTTATAAAGTCCCCTTTGAACAGTTTCATCAAATTCTGCCTCTAAGATCCTCTTATTACAGAGGGCTCAAAAAAGGATTTTGAAGTGTCAGATACTGAACTGCACAATATGATATTTCAACTTTCTGTCAGGTAAAATTAAGAACAAACAATAGCAACAGAAATAACAACAAAAAGACACCCCTCCTTTCCCACCAAAGATCTTGGACACAACACAATATATTATTTTAAGACATTAAAAAATTGTTTTCAATGAAAAATTATTTTCTAAACGTGAAAACATTATTTTTGTAAAAGCTATTTCCTTTTAAGCCTGGAGAGGTGAAAATTAGTATACCTACAGAATAGTGTTTTTTGCTTGGTTTGAAAGCAAGAAATACCACTCTCTAAGTATACTAATGTCGGTGTTTGAGTTGACATTTGTTGAGGTTTTATTTTTCAAAATGGTGCATCAATCCCTGTTTTGAATGCAGACACAGAAATAATTTCCAGAGAAATGAACTGGAAAAAAAAAAAAAAGAAATGTGTATTGAATTGGAAAAAAACAAACCTTCTGACTTTTCTCCTAACATTCTCTAAAATTCTTCTGAGGTTAAAAGAACAAATATTTCTTTAAAAAAAAACAACACACAGATCTCTGACAAAAGCTGCACAGAGAGTAAGCATACATTATATTTGGAGACATTAAAATTATTTTAAATGATTTTTACACCACCCCATCCCCTGGCATTTTTGTGATGTTCATCTGGAAATTCAAGCTCAAAATTATCCAAGGGAGTCCATGGAAAACAGACACCATTCCATCGCCCTTGATTCTTCTCTACCACACTTCAGCCTCTCCTGAGACTAGATCAAAATGTCCTATTTCTCTCCCAAATACAAAACAAAAGCTCTTCGATGACTGGAGAGGCATAGATATCTGGGAGAGATGGGGGAGGGGAGGGTTTGACTATTCTACCAGCAATCAGCCAAAATTCCTCAATGTGTTAAAAAAAAAATGTTTAAAACCTCTTTCAAAGGGTCATTATGTCCATTAAATATAATTTGTGCCAATAATAACACAGCAGTTAAAATATAGTGAATACCTGTACAAGGTAGGCACCTTTACATTTCATCCACAACCCAGCCCCATGAAGTAGGTATCACCATTATTTCCTCTTTACATACATACTTCTTTAAAAGTGGAAAACAGAAAGATCAATTACATTCTCTGTGGTCTCAAAGCCAACAAGTGGTAGTATCAGGATTTGGGGGCCCTTGGACAGTGGATCTTTAAAAATCGGCTTGTAAAGAGCCACCAAAAGATCTAGCCCAAATTCTTGGCACTTTAGTGTTGGTTAATAAATAACAGTCCCCTTTCCTCTCTTTGGAACCCAGTTTGAGCACTGGAACTCTCATTTGAGAAATACCGTTTCTCCACTGACCTCTCCGACATCTCAGCCAAACTCAAAGCGGGCTCTCAGAAAGGGTCACAGAGGTTGCCACCCTATAGGTTCTGAGCCCTAGGAGGCAGGAATGCAAACGGACTTTGCAAACAGACCAAGTATAGTATTGCTTTGATGGAAACCGTCTGTCTGCTCAGCCTGACCCTGAGATTCCCCAAGCCCCGGAGAACCACACAACCCTTCCCAGGGCCCTGCGCAAATCGCAGGCGGTCAGGTGCGCTCGGGTGAACGACACCCTGTCCTGACCCCTTCCAGAGCACGCAGCAGCGGGGACAGGGGAGGTGGGCGACACAGGGAAGGAGAGAGACGGAAACCAAGCGTGCACCTAGTGGCCATGACAACTCGGGCTGACATCTCCAGGGAGGGCCCGGGGGAGGCGGGGCCCAATTCCCGCCGCCGAGCCGGGGTGGGGGAGGCCTCTTCATCCTCCCCTCCTTCCGGGAATGCAGAGCCCCCGCGGGAGCCGCGGAAAAGGGCCATTGCCACTTTAAGTGACTCAGGAAGTGAAAGGAGTCCGCCTGACAGGGAAAGGGAAAGTGGAACCGGGGCGGTGCGGGGAGCCGCGGCGCCGCGATCCCGCCGGGTAGCGAGAGGCCAAGCGGGCCGCGCGGCGCGGGGGCCGACGGGGGCGCGGGGCCGCCGCGCCGGAAGTGCCCGGGCGGCCCGGGGAAGCGCGGCGGGCGCCGAGCGGCGGAGCGGGCGGGCAGGCCCTCCGCTCCTGTGCGCGGGGGCCCCAGGCCCGCTCCGAGACCCCGCGCGGCCCCGCGGGCGGCGGCGGGCGGGGGGAGGAGGACGCGCGGAGGCCGCGGGGCCGGGCGGCGCGCTCCGAGACCTCGAGGCCCGGGCCTCGTCACCGCACCCACATGGCCTCCGGAGTGGGCGCGGCCTTCGAGGAGCTGCCGCACGACGGCACGTGTGACCAGTGCGAGCCCGACGAGGCGCCCGGGGCCGAGGAAGTGTGCCGAGAGTGCGGCTTCTGCTACTGCCGCCGCCACGCCGACGGGCACCGGCAGAAGTTCCCCGGGCACCACCTGGCCCAGTACGTCCACGGCGCCGCGGCCTGGAGCCCCCGAGGCCAGGGGGCAGGCCAGGGCGAGGACGGCCTGGGGGACGACGGAGACGGAGCGAGCGAGGCGGGGCCCGAGAGCCAGTCCGAGGAGGACAGCGAGTCCGGCGAGGAGAGCGGGACGGAGGACGAGAGCGAGGACGAGAGCGACGCGGAGAGCGAGGACGACAGCGAGGAAGACATGGAGGATGAGCAAGAGAGCGAGGGGGAGGACAACCGTGACGACGGAGAGTCCGAGGCGGAGGGAGAAACTGAGGCCGAGAGTGAATTTGACCCAGAAATAGAAATGGAAGCAGAGAGGGTGGCCAAGAGGAAGTGTCCGGACCACGGGCTTGATTTGAGCACCTATTGCCAGGAAGATAAGCAGCTCATCTGTGTCCTCTGTCCGGTCATTGGGGCTCACCAGGGCCACCAGCTCTCCACCCTGGACGAAGCCTTCGAAGAACTGAGAGTAAGTGCTGGGCACTGGGCATAGGCCTCGAGGTCGGAGCGCCGGGTGTCAGCTCGGTGGCGTAGGTGTAGCCACGTGCATTCTCATCGTGTCCCCAGAAAGCGAGTCTGTTGGGTTTGCTGGGAGCAGTGCTTATGCACCCCTTTAGTTGAACTCCTTAGAGAATCAGGTGGAAGCTCTGGACTCCCAGCCAAGAAAAACCCATGTGCACACACAGTCTAGTGTGCAATTTCTGGAAAACTGCAAGCCTCTGGTGGCTGGAGCCCAGGCGAGGCATTTCCTAGTTCTGACCCCACTTGCGGTGTGTCCCTCAGCATCGCCATTGTTGAGACCGGGGCCTAGACTTGGGGCTCTTGAATTTTGCTCAACGAATCCATGCAGGTAGTGTAAAGACTCCCCGAGGTTGGGGTTTTGGTAACTTCATGTGTGTCCTGAGTTCCTTTTAGGTTCTTCATGTTTGATACTTGTTTGGAAGGGAGGATGAAAAGGTGGGGGCAAACTTGGGATAGGAGTGGGGGTCCCCAGTCCTACATCTTTTGTAAGAGGGCCTTGCTGGTCCCCTACAACAGTGTTTGGAAAGTAGTAGACATTAATAAGTATTTGTTGAGTGAATGGATTTGCAAATGACTTGCCTTTTACTTATACTGTGGATGTATGCAATCGGTGAGAGAAACTGCTGGCATTAACTAGGGAGGAACATTTTAGTGGAGTGTATGTATGTTTGTTTATTTATAGGAGAGGGGAGAAACATCAATTTGTTTTTTCACTTATTCATGCATTCATTGGTTGATTCTTGTATGTGCCTTGACTGGGGATGGAACCCACAACCTTGTGTATCCTGACGATGCTCTAACCAACTGAGCTACCCAGGGCTGGAGTGGTCAGTTAATTAAGTGATCAGTTCATTAGTGAATGAACTAGAAGTGTCTTCTAGGACAACTTTTGATTACATAAGTCACCTTGCAGTTGCTGGCACTGAGATAACAAATACTTTGATAATGAAAATCCTAGTATTAAGATTTTACTTTTTTTATTGTAAAAGACGCACTCAAAAAGTGTGTAAAAATGCATGCACAGTCTAACGAGTAATTATAAAACAAATACTAATGTAACCTCTAGTTATTAAGAAATAGATTATTAGCGATGTTAAAGCCCCATGCGCTTTTCCAGTTACAACCATTTCCCTTCTGCTTAAGTAACCATTATCCTGATGTTTTATAATTTCCTTGCTTATCTTTATACTTTTACCATATATGTACGCATTCCTAAACTTACTTGAACTTGCCACAATTGGTATAATATTGTTATCATGCATTCTTTGGGGTTTTGCTTCATTTTCTCAACATTGTGTTTGTGAGATTCATCTGGTGGTTGGCTGTGGTTTGTTCCTTTTCTTTGCTGTATAGAATTTCATTTTATGAACATGCCACAAGTTACCTATTCTGTCAATAGTGAACATTTGATTTCCAGATTCTGGAGCTTCTGGCCATTATAAAAAATATTAGTATAAACAGTCTTGTTCATGTCTTCCAGTGAGTATCTACATACATTTAAATGAAATATAAACCTAAGAGTGTGATTGTTGGGTCATAGGTTATGAATATCTTTAATATTACTAGATGCTGTCTAGTTTCCAGAGTGGTTGTACCAATTTGCATTGTCATGAAGAGTATTTGAGAATTCTTTTTCTGTATCTTCAGCAACACTTGCTGTTACAGAATTTTTAATTTTGGTCAATCTTGTAGGTATGTAGTATCTTATGGTTTAAATTTGCATTCTTCTGGTTATTGATGACTTTGAATATCTTGTATTTCTTCTTTTGACATGCCCATTCAGTTCTTTGGCTCACTTTTGTATTGGGTTCTCTGTCCTTTGCTCATTAATTTATTGGAGTTTTATATATTCACTTCTGACTTCCTTGTTGTTTATATGAGTTACAAGTATCTTCTTAGATACTGTTTTCTTTTTAAAAATTTGTGCCTCGAATGAAGTTCTTCATTTTAATGTATAATTTTTATTAATAATTTTCTTTATTGTTAGTGCTTTGGGGGTCTTGTTCAACTTAGTATTGATTTTTTTTAAAAAAATTTTATTAATTTATTTTTGATACAGATGTTTCTTCATTTTTTCCCCATTGACAACCTCCTCCCCATCTCCCCCACTCCATACCCGGCTTTGTTGTCCTTGTCCATCGGTTATGCGTATATGCATATAAGTTCTGTGGTTTATCTCTTCCCTTCCCCCACCACCTCCTCTTCTGAGGGTTCAGTCTGTACCCTACTTCCATGTCTCTGGGTCTACCCAGTTCCTCAGACTGTTATGTTCATTATATTCCACAAATAAGTGAGAGCATGTGATATTTGTCTTTCTCTGCTTGGCTTGTTTCGCTGAGGATAGTACTTTCCAGGTCCCTCCATGTCGTCTCAAAGGATAGGAGATCTTTCTTTCTTACAGCTGCATAGTACTCCATTGTGTATATGTACCACAGCTTTTTATCCATTTGTCTACTGATGGACACTTGGGCTGTTTCCAGATCTTAGCTATTGTAAATAGTGCTGCTATAAAAATGGGGGTACATATATTCTTTCTGATTGGTGTTTCAGGCTTCTTAGGGTATATTCCTAGAAGTGGGATCACTGGGTCAAATGGCAGTTCAATTTTTAACTTTTTGAGGTAACACCATATTGTTTTCCATAGTGGCTGCACCAGTCTGCATTCCCACCAGCAGTGTACTAGAGTCCCCTTTTCTCCACACCCTCACCAACCCTTGTTGTTTGATGATTTGTTGATGATGGCCATTCTGACAGGTGTGAGGTGATACCTCATTGTTGTTTTAATTTGCATCTCTCTGATGATTAGTGATGTTGAGTATTTCTTTATATGTCTCTTGGCCATTTGTATGTTCTGTTTGGAGAGGTGTCTGTTTAGCTTCTCTGCCCATTTTTTAATTGGGTTCTTTGTCTTCCTTTTGTTGAGTTGTATGAGCACTCTATATATTTTGGAAATTAACCCCTTATCTGATATATCGTTGGCAATTATGCTCTCCCATACACTGGGTTGCCTTTCCATTTTGATGACTGTATCCTTTGCTGTGCAGAAGCTTTTGAGTTTGATGTAGATTCGTGTGTTCACTTTTTCTATGTTTCTGTTGCCTTAGGTGATGTATCATTGAAAATTCTGCTGCGTATGATGTCTGAAATTTTGTTGCTTACATTTTCTTCCAGGATTTTTATGGATTCATGGGTCACATTTAAGTCTTTTATCCATTTTGAGTTTATTCTTGGGTATGGTGTAAGTTGGTGGTCTGGTTTCATTGTTTTGCATGTAGCTGTCCAACCTTCCCAACACCATTTATTAAAGAGGCTGTCTTTACTCCATTGTATGCTCTTGCCTCCTTTGTCAAATATTATTTGAGCATAATGTCTTGGGTCCATTTCTGGGTTCTCTCTTCTGTTCCACTGGTCTATATGCCTGTTCTAGTGCAAGTACCAGGCTGTTTTGATTACAGTAGCTTTGTAGTATAACCTGATATACGGTATTGTGATCCCACCTACTTTGTCCGTCTTTTTCAAGATTGCTGTATCTATTCAGGGTCTTTTTTGGTTCCATATGAACTTTTGACGTATTTATTCTAGTTCTATGAAATATGTCATTGGTATTTTGATGGAGATGGCATTGAATCTATAGATTGCTTTGGGTAATATGGACATTTTAATGATGTTAATTCTTCCAATCCATGAACAAGGTATGTGCTTCCACTTTTTTATATCTTCCTCTATTTCTTTTTTCAGTGTCCTGTAGTTTCCTGCAAATAGGTCCTTTACTTTTTGGTTAAGTTTATTCCTAGGTATCTTAATTTTTTTGCCGTGATGGTAAATGGGATTTTTTTTTTTTCCTTTTAGTTTCTCTTTCTGTTACTTTATCATTGGTGTATAAGAATGCTGTCAATTTCTTGACATTAGTTTTGTAGTCTGCTACCTTGTCAGATTCATTTATTAATTCTAATAAATTTTTGATGGAATCTTCAGGGTTTTCTATGTATAATATCATGTCATCTGCATATAATGACAGTTTCACTTCCTCCTTTCCAATTTGGATCCCTTTTATTTTTTCTTCCTGTCTGATTGCTGTGGCTAAGACTTCCAGTACTATGTTAAATAAGAGTGGCGAAAGCGGGCATCCCTGTCTTGTTCCTGTTCTTAAGGGAAATGCTTATAGTTTTTGCCCATTGAGTATGATGTTGGCTGTAGGTCTTTCATATATGGACTTTATTGTGTTGAGATATGATCCCTCTATTCCCACATTGCTGAGTGTTTTTATCAGAAACGGGTGCTGGATTTTGTCAAATGCTTTTTCAACATCTATTGATATGATCATGTGGTTTTTATTGTTCATTTTGTTTATGTGGTGTATGACATTTATTGATTTGCGGATATTGTACCAGCCTTGCACCCCTGGAATGAATCCCACTTGGTCATGGTGAATAATTTTTTTGATGTATTGCTGGATCTGATTTGCTAGTATTTTGTTCAGGATTTTGTTGTCTATGTTCTTCAGGGATATTGGCCTGTAGTTTTCTTTCTTTGTAATTTCATATTCTGGTTTTGGAATTAGAATTATGCTGGCCTCATAAAATGAGTTTGCAAGTCCTCCTTCTTCTTGAATTTTTTGAAATAATTTAAGGAGAATGGGTGTTAGTTCTTCTTTCAATGTTCAGTAAAACTCCCCCATGAAGCCATCCGGGCCTGGGCTTTTGTTTGCTTGGAGAGTCTTGATTACCTCTTCAATTTCTTTTGTTGTTATTGGTCTGTTCAAGTTTTCTATCTCCTCCTGGTCAGTTTTGAGAGACTATGTGTTTCTAGAAATTTGTCCATTTCACTAGTATTGATTTTGTGTAGTGGAGGTAGGGGCTCAATTTCATTTGTTCCTCCATACAGATAGCCAGTTACTCTAGCAGGATTTATTTTTTATTTTTTTAATTCTCATCAGAGGATATTTTT